CTCATCTCTTGCATACCACCAACCTAATAATCCTATCTTCGTCCCTCGGCTGTGCCCTTTTCAGCTTTGCCCTGCCCTGCCTGTCTGCCTGCTTCCCTTCCTTTCGCAATCCTATCGCAATCGCACACGGCGTACGAAAGACAGCCGCACTCGCACGCACGACGGACGCACAGCCCAAGGCCGTCAGCCATGCCACCGGCGCCCTAGAAACCAGACACGTCCACGCTACTAATTAATAGTGGCCTTCTTCGTCTCCGAGAGTTTGGAATACGAATGCATCGAATCAACCTTCAAGAGTCTGACGACATCCGGCCTAGCTTCCTTCGGTAGCCTGTCCAAGCTCGTTCAATCCAGCAGTATCCGTAACAACAACCTGGCCTGGTCTCGGTTGCTTCCTTCCTGCCCCTGCCGTTGGAATTCAGGTCTCAAATCCACTTTCACTTTCAAGACCTCCGCTATTGTTTGGCATTCGCTGCCAAATATCCAATATCTCCCCCGCCACCATTTCCCGCTTCCCCAAGACTCTCGCTCTTTCTTCTTGGTCCGCTCCCTCTCTCTCGATTCCTTCCTTTTGCGCCGTCCCTCGTTTACTCCTCGGTCTCCCTGGTACGTCAAACACCAACCAACCCAGTCGACCTCGAGATCTGCACCCACGCGAACTGCAATCAGGGAATTATTGGGCCCTGCATAACCCACCCACCGCACCGGGCAGGCACGAGTGGCAGCGCGAAGTCGACTCAAGCTTGAAGCAAGCCTTTCCCTTGCTCACCAAACGCCCGTCGTCCGCAAACCTTTTCTCACCAACAGTAACACCAACAACCCGTCTTCACCATCTTTCGGCTGTCCATCTCTCCGATCCACCCAAGCTATTAGTGCTACGGGAATCCAGACGAAACTAGCGAACCCGCGAAACTGAGCCACGCTATGAGGCCGTGAAAGCCCATCGTCGCTGCCTTTTGCATCACCATCGCTGCCACTATCCGTTCCCTGTTTCGCCCTCTGCGCCTTTGTATTACGCTCCAACTCGACACACCACCAGGGGTTCTTTTCCTTTCACAACGAGAATAGCCACCAACCAACCAACAGACAAACCAACAAACAAAACAGGGCTGCTTATCACCAACAAGCATCCCTGCCAGTCATTCACTGCGCCCTTTTACACACGCCTACTTTAAGTCTTCGCTGGGTTCGCCAACGGTTTGGCTCGTTCGCTCCTTCTTGGTCAACCGGCACCTGCACCCCACGACACCGACCAGCACATCATGTCGTCCACGGACAGCAGCTCTCTGGGCAGCAGCGGCGAAGGCCTTGGCCTGTCCTCTGCACCCTATACCTGGATCCTCACGCCTCTCATCGTTTTCCTCTCCATCGGCATACTCGCGACTCTTATCCAGTTCCAGCGTCGCCGCCGTCTCCGCAGGCTTGGACTGCAACGCCCGTGGCCCCGTCGCGATCTCGAAGCGAATCGTCAAAGAGCTGGAGGTCAGCGCTCATCGCGAAACGGCCGCTGGGCGTGGACCACTCGCCCCGACGAAGGTCTGGACGAGTTCGGCGAGGCCCCTCCTGCCTACGAGCCGAAAGCTAAGCCCGGTCAGGCCGTCACCCGGGATGGCAGCTTCGAGATGGCCCACGTCGAGCACATGCCCCCGCCGCCTCTCATCGGCGCGGCAGGAGCTGGCCGGGGCTCCCTGCCCCCAGACTACGGCACGGCCACCGGTTCTACGTCTTCAACACCACCCACCATCGCGACACCGCCCACTGCGGTTACGAGAAGCTAAGGGCCGAAGCTCATCCTGGGAAGCCACGGAGGGTCTCTCCCAACTGTACCAATTCACAAATCATTTCAAGGCGTTACACGGAGGTATCAAAAAAGGGGCGTTCGGAATCGGGGAAAGCACAAGATACCATGTTTGAGATTTTCTTTCCACGGGCATTAGCGAAGGAAGGGTATTGCGAAAGATGAGATATCACGAGGATCAAGACGGTGGATGATCGAGGGGGGGGCCGAACAAAATGCGTGAGGGAGCACGCGAATAGCACCCAGCATAGGCAAATTGCCGCACTTCATGTCTATTATAGCCACTACAGTATCTGTAATTCAGGCAAATCAACCAAACCTGATGTAAACGGTGTGCGTTTTCTTTTCAAGTGTACTTGCTATCGTCCCTGTCGTTGTCTATTGTCATGATCTCAACTTTCTTCGCCAACATCACCGGATGTGAAATTAATATCTGCTCGTCTAGCAATGTCCTGTTTGTTAACGGATCTTCTGATACGCCATTCTTTGGTGTTTTTACTGTGCCATGCCATGCATCGATCGATAGGCAGGCGTTTCCCTAGAAGCATCAAATGTTCAGTGAGTTGACTTACACGGCGCCAGGTCCATCCTAGCAACTGCTTCAGCCTCCGACTTCCCGATTCGGTGGTCCTTTGGTTCACCTCCTGATCACCGAACTTCGCCTTACTTCTACATTACCAGTCACAAGCTCAATTAGCTGGCCACGATGAGATCGCCTGACTTATGTGTGGTTGCACGGCTCCATTTTCTGCATGCTTGGTAGATTGAAGTCATACTTCCGCAGAAGAAATATTGCACAAGAGGTATGCTTGTGTGAATCAAATCGCAAGTCATGTTGGTATAAGGTGATAATCGAGATCTGTATCGATTCAAACCCTGTTGTTTTCCTGTCCATATCATGACGGACTAGCTCCCGTTCGAGGTTGAGGAGATCTCTTCTAACACCCTCCTGTCATCTCCGGCCACACTCTCCTCGAAACCCTGACTCTCAAGTCATCCTAGAGATTTTGTCAGTCAAGTCCGACGCGAGAATAAATGCGAATGGTGTGTCCTCCGTACCTTCATTTGGGGCGGTCCAGGCCTATCAAAATCCAGCGCCTCAAAATCCACCGTCTGAGGCTGCTCAGGAGACGCCCAAGACACCTCGTAGCACCGAAGCAAGGTCGTGAGCACCTGCTCCACGACAATCGCCGACATGCCGTCGTCGCCTCGTGCGGTGGGCTTGACTTGGTCGTCAGACGCAATGCCACCTTTGCACACCTCGTCGAAGCTGACGAGCTTGTTCTCGGCGTTAAGCCACCTCCCAGGCATCCAGGAGTCCGGGCAGCCGCCGTCCAGTTGGGAGTTGGACCGCACGTTCTCGTAGTACCGCTCCGTCTCTTTGATGCAGGCCTTCAGGAGGGAAGAGTCGTTCTCTGCGCCTCGGGAGTTCCTCTTGATGGCGTTCATGACGTCTGGATGTCTCAAGAGCTGCAAAAAGCGTTGTTGTCAGGCGCTGTGCCGGGAGGGGGGACAAACGGCATGTTTGCTACTTACGGAGATGAGGACCCAGAAGACGGTCGAAGCAACACCGTTCTGCGTAAAGAGCATCAGGATCGTGTAATGCGCGGGGAACAGATGCTTCAGCGCCGCCGTGCCGTCCTCGTCCAGGAGGAACGTGACGTAGTCCTGCCTGTCGGCCTCGATGGGCCCGCCGGCGACGGCGACGGCATCTCTGCGCATCAGCCTCTCCGTGAAGATCTCAGCGATGCGCTCCCGTGCCCAGCGCAGCCGTCGCACGGCCGGGTGAGGCAGCCAGTCCGGCAGAACGGAGGCCCACGGCTCGCCGACCTCCTCCTCGACGGCGCGCAGGAGCGTGCGGAGCTCGTCGCTCGAGGGGTAGAAGTCGTCGCCGAGGAGGATCCGCACGGCGGCCTTGTGCGTCAGCTCGGATACGCTGGCGAAGAGCTCTACGTCGGGTTTGGTCGTCCACTCGAGGGCGCAGCGGTGCGTCTCTTCGACGGCGCAGGCGGCGGTGTATTCTTGGGCCGGCGCGCGGCTGATGAAGCGCCGGAGAGAGCCGACCAGGCAGTCAATGTTTTGGATGTATTCTTCGTTAATGATCTTGTTGAGGAATATTCCCTGTGTGAAGAATTCGATACATGTTAGGTGCATTCCAGAAATGTCTCAGACGCAGGTTGAGGTGGCTTTCAGGGCTAGTAACTCTCACCATTCCGCGTGTCAGCGATGACAATGTCTCGGGCATGTTCAGGTGGTCCTTGTTGAGATCGCAGTTTTGAGGAATACACTTCGTCGTAAATATGTTGCCGAATTGTGCGTGCAGTTTGCGATCGGAATAGGCGGGCCTGCGTTGGCGACGCTGGGCGTCCACGGGGAGGGCAAAAGAACCATGATCCCTTGTGGTTGTCGGTATTTTGATTGGCTTCCAGTACCACCTGAAGAACAGGAAGACTGCCAGAACGACAAGGAGAATCAACGCCATGGTTGATGTTGGTGATCTCGTACCAGAGAAGACTCGTATATCGCTCCGTCTGTGAAGGCCACGGCAAGTCAAAGAGAGGCCCCGAAAAACGCTCACACCGTCAGGGGGATCTCACAGCCTTATATCGTCAAGAAGCCTCCACCACAAAAGCCCACGAGCGGACGTCCGGGGATGACGTGAGACAACTCTGTCTTGGCATTGTTGAGCTACATTTCAGTGATGGCTTTGAAAGGACCAAAATATCTTTGAGTTGGAACGAATCCACAGATAAGGGAATATATGGAGACTTGGAAGGGAAAACAAAGCACCTCCCTGGCACACTGGAATGTGGCGACGTGGGATGTCAGACTTCCACCGAGAAAAACATGGGCTCGGCGACGGACCAATTTCCTTTCTTGGGCTGTGGTGGGAGCCTTCCTCGTTGCAAAGAAACGGAACGAATTAACTGAAAACTTTCTTCAGTCGTTAAGGGAAGATGTTGGATTGTTGCCTGTTGTCTGTCCGGACGGGAGTTGTTCTATTGCCCATTTCCGTGTTTTCCGAGCCCTGCCATATGCTTTTGTGTTTCCCATCCATTCTACTTATGCCTCGACGAAGATACAGTAGTGTACAGACCCGGCAATCATTCTCGCCACGATAAGTGGTGTAATACAAGACTGCCAGGCTATGTCATAATACGCAAAACGTTGGTATCATACATGCTCATAGGACGTAACATGCTCAGAGGTGCCACTCAGGGAGAGCAAAGTTTCTGTTCTTGGGCCACTTCTCAGTCCTGCAGAACAACAGCGTTAGCAAAAGATCACAATCACAATCCAGGAGATTCTTACTTAGTGGTCAACAGGACCGTCATACGCTTCCTCTTTTCGACGGTCTCCTCCGCATCAACGAGACGAAGCCACTGATCCAGCAACTTCCTCAAGTCCTTGTCACTGCGGCCGGCGCAGTCGATACCACGCTCCGTGCACGCAATGCGGACCTCCTGCTCCTCGAGCCCGGCAACGCCGCCATCGCGCAGCAGCAGCCTGTCGTCGCCCTCCAGGAACGCCATCCTCAGACGTCCCTTGGACGCCCACATGCCCGGCGGGATGAACCCGATCTTGTCCCACATCATGCCGGGCAGGTGCAGGCTGCGCAGCACGTGCTTTTGCGCCGCGCCCTTGGCGTTGCCCTTCACGACGCCCTCGGGCGCGGCCCGCTCAAAGTCCTCAAACGACTTGTGCCGCCTCTCCTCGGCCTGCGCGAAGCTCGCGGCCAGCTGCCGCGGCAGACGGCAGGTGTAGGGCACCACGCCGTCGACGAAGATGACGATGAGCGGGGTGAATTCCCCACAGATCAGCAGCACCACGCCGAAGAGCGGGACGCGGAGGATGTCGTGGCGCACGCGCCAGAGGAGCACCCAGTCCGCGCGGCTGAAGCCCTTAGGGACCAACCCCGGTGAGAAGACGGAGGGCTCGCGAAAGCCCGGGACGGACTGCTTCTTGGAGGCGATGACGTCTTGGATGTGCCGCCTGTTCGCGAAGACGGCGCGGAGGCCGCCCTTGTAGAAGTTGATGTACGTCTTGGCCTGCGCGAACAGGTGGGAGACCTTGCTCTGGTCGGGCTGGCGTTCGGGGAGCTCGAGAGGCGCCGGGCGGGAGGTGGCGATGGGGTTGAGCTTGGGGTTGAAGACGGCCGTCGAGCTGGCATCGTGGCTTCGTTCGGAAGTGAGGGAGCTCGCGAGGCGGCGGTAAGAGGTCGTCGTCGTCGGCTTCGCCGCGAAGGAGAGGAAGGGCGAATTGGTCGAGCAGCGGCCGCAGAGAAGGGCCGAAGCTGACGGATTGCGCATTACGCGCAGTGTCGTCCTATGGTTCATTGCATTGGCGGTGTGGGGGGTTCTGCTTGGTGTATGCGGAAAGTGGTCGTGGGCTTGAGCAGCATGGGGAATTAAAGCTGTCCTGAATATCGAAATTTAGGTAATCAGAAAAAAAATAGAACGGGGCCTTGGTTTCGTCACTGATTACCTACGTAGCGTGGAAAAGCTTATCGGTTATCGGCGCGCGCGTGGGTGTGCCTGCGTCGGCCCCGCTTCGCCTGCAGCTCCCGCCGCATCGGATCCGGGGAACGGTCGGCCAGAGCCGAACCAAGCTTTCCTGCCGCTCTTGGCTTATTCGTCTAGATTTTTGGAAAAGGATGGTCCTTTATCGCTTCAGGTCGATCATTGGTGCTGCTGCGCTCTTGAGCTCAGAATGAAGATATAACTGGGCGGATTTGCTCACAACTTGGAACCTGAGCCCAATAGCGTAGCCCCGTCTCCGTCGACAAAACAAACAGTGCGACAACATCGGGAATGGCCAAATTGGCATCTGTGTCCTTGTTTTCATCAATCCGAACCAAACCTTTATTGAAAAGATCGTGTCCAAGTTCGCCCGCCACAATTACGATACTTGCTAGTGCGAAGGCCTCCACAATGCTACTATCATCGAACCATTAATACCATAAGCGTACGAAGAAAATTAACGTCTCCCTGAGATTTCGCAGTTTCCTCTTTTCTCTTCCTCTTTTGCCAACGAGAATGGCAGCCCGTCACAGACCTGCACCAGTTCCTCACTCAGGACCCTGCCCAAACCACCTCCTAAACCACCCCACAGCCTGATCCTCCGCCCGCATTCCCAAGTCGGCCTGCCTCTCATCATTCGGATCACCCCTCACCGCAAACCCGTGCTTGGCCCCAGCATATTCACAAACCTCGCAGTCCCCCTTCTTCCCCAGAATATCCTTCGCCAGCGCCATCTTTGCCCGTGGCATCATCATGTCATCGTCGCCGTTGGCAATGCTCAACGGCAGCGCCACCTTCTCCAGGTCCCCAGGCACAGACACCATGCTCGGGTGCGCGGTATACGCGATATCAATCAGCCTCTCCTCACCAAACGGCCCGGCCGTCCCCTGTGCTAGCTGGATCGCGTACTTGCCGCCCCAGCAGAACCCCGCGACGCCGATCTTGAGGCCCTTGGCCGCCGCGGACGCAGACGTCTCGCCGCCGGCACCGTCTGCAGAGGCGGATGTGGACGTCGATGGGCGCGGCAGCGTTCGCGGCAGCGGAGACGGCGGGTCGAGACGGAGGGCGCGGAGGAGGTTTGCGATGCGCGGGATGAGCACGCCGGCGCGCGTCGCGAGGAGGAGAGGAACGAAGTAGCGGATCATGGTGGCGGCGCCGACGGGGTAGAGGTAGAAGAGCTTGTACAGCCACGATTTCTCGGACGCGATGCGGTCGCCGACGGTGAGGATGGAGTCGGGCATTGCGTAGCCTGCGTTATGGTCAGCGCATGCTGTACCCCTCACCTCCACGACCAACGTGGTTCAAACGTGCCACCAGCAGTCAGGACGGGATGAGAAACTAACCATTCATGACCTCGGGGAGCAGCACCACGGCCGGGATCCTCTTCGCATACGCATCGGCGAGGGCTCTCGTGTTGCGCAGCTTCCACCCGAATACGTCCGGGATGACGACCACGATGCCGGCCGGCTCGCGGCCCGGCTCCGGGCGCGCGACATAGGTCGGCAGGCCGCTGACCGTCTCCTCCGTGCCCTGCGGCTCGACGTCGCCGCGGAGGGTCCCCTTGAAGCAGTCCGCGCAGAAGCGAGGCGCCTGCGAATCTGACATTGTTTCGCTCCGTTCCGTTTCGTTTCGTTTCCTCACGTGCGCGTCCCGGTCTCTTTCAGCTTTGATGGATTCTAGTTTCCTTGTGGAATGAGGATCAGCTCCCGGAAGCAATCGTGGGGCGCGGACGCTTGATCAACTCTAAAGTCGAGAATAGATCGTGTGGTCCCACGACGCTTCACCGATTATTAAAAAAGTCGAAATAGTGTGGCTTTCCTGAGAGAAAGAGCAAAGTCATGTGGGGGAAAAGCTGAGATGAAGTAGCACCAATATTGTCTGTGAAGATCGATCGCCTCCCCCCCGTCCGTCCGCAGGGCGCCACCAGATCGCATTGTCTGTGCAGAGTAATGAGCTACATCGCTACGGTAATGACGGCACACGCGCGCGCAAGCGGATGGTTGTCAAAAAGGGGAATAGGTTTCGTCCGGTGAGTGTATGTGCCCGGGAAGTCTAGCTTTAGCTAGCCTCTCCCACCAGAGATAAACCGCGTCTCAGGTCTGGCGCGGGGTTTAAAGCAACCCACAATCTCACTTGTCTCTGCTGCTGCTGCTGCTGCCCACCCAACGCGCGGACGTCATGTCCATCACCCGAGCTGTCGCAGGATTTCCGATCTGATACTAGCCGGCGGAGATTTCTCCGGTGGGAGACTCTGTGAGCAGAAAAAGCAAGAGGTTTGTTTTCGGGTACTGCAGGCCAAACACACCTAACCCAAGAGTTGCCGCGACGGTAAGTTGTGAACGTCCGTGCCGCGCATCACATCACATGCGCTATCTCACCTTACCTGTTGGAGGTGTAAGTGTGAGAAGACAGTCTGCTTAGCAAATCGTTCCCCTCCGGGGATGGGTCTCCCTTCACCGAGCTCACCGAGGTCTGACGTGATTGGGCAGTGGGATTTCAACACACATTTTCACCGCGGATTTCGGATGAGAGGGGTGAACGACCACTCATTCACTCCGCGATCCATTTGCTCGGTAGAAACTCTCCCGAACGAAATTTCTGCTTGCTTCTCATTTCTGAATCTTCACAATCCACAATTATCTCATACAAAATAATGGTGCGTCGTCTCGGTGAAGAAGGGAAAAAAAGATAAAAAAGCCCTAGACTGACACACCGAGGTGACTCAGGTCCACGCCGACGCATCCAACTTCGCCAACGGCGTCACCAAGGAGGAGGCCTACGAGCAGGTCCTCCTCCAGGCGGAAGGTCTGTTCTACGAGCAAAGAAACTGGGTACGTTCGTTTCCTCCCTCCATCTCCAAAACATCTCCGCTTCTCCCTTCCAGCCACGGAACTAACGCTTTGATATAGGTCTGGTACGTCAAGTCTCCCAAAATCTTACTATGAATGATGATCAGCAGCATCATAGCACCCCCAATAACCAACTCACCCAACTAACCCAAAAACACAGCAACCTCTCCAACACGGCCTCCCTCCTCTGGCACGCCTACCACTCCCTCCCGGCGCCCTCCACCTCCGTCAACTGGGCCGGCTTCTACGTCCTCGACCCCAAGGCGCCCGCCTCCAAGCCCGCGCTCATCCTCGGGCCCTTCCAGGGCAAGGTGGCCTGCCAGACGATCCCCTTCGGCCGCGGCGTCTGCGGCGCCGCCGCCGCGACCCTGCAGACGCAGCTCGTGCCCGACGTCGACGCGTTCCCGGGCCACATCGCCTGCGACGGCGACAGCAAGAGCGAGATCGTCGTGCCCGTTGTCGTGGACGGCAGGCTTGTCGCGATTATTGATGTGGACTGCGCGCTGGCCGACGGCTTCGACGAGGTGGACCGCGTCTGGCTGGAGAAGCTGGCTGCGCTGCTGGCGGCGAGCAGTGACTGGTGAGAGGAGTGAGGTGGTATGAAGTGTGCATGGCTGCGTGGGACGAGAGAGTCACAAGAAGCGAGTGAGGAGGTGTTTGAGCTTTTTATGTCAGGGCAAGGGAAAAGTTTTCAACAATTTGGCGATTTCGGGGTCATTTCATCAATGATGGTTTTGATATCATTATAGACGGGACACATTCGGGAATAGACCCCAGGCTACGGGGCCACAGGCGAAGAGAAGAGAGTGAGAGAGAGATGATTCAATAAAAATTTCATTGAACGCGCCCGGAGTCAACCTCCGGCACAAACTAAACTTTTTTTGTAGAATATTTGGCGATATCTTTGTTTTCAATCTGCCAAACAAATCTATTGAGATCTCCTCCGACCAAAGTCCGTAATTGGCCACCTAAGAGCGTTGCCTCCCCTAAACCATTCTATACCGAACCCAGCCTCTTGATATGACCGTTTTCCTTTTTTTTCATCCGTTACCTCATCAAAAGAGGACGACAACCTTTACTCCAGAGCCTTCTTGGCAAAGTTGGGCAGGATGAAGGCGGCCTTGTGGATGTCGGCGTTGTAGTACTTGCACAGCTTCTCCTCCTCCTCGGGGGACCACTTGCGGATGGGCTCCTTGACGTTGCGGTTGGCGTCCTTGGTGCAGACCATGAAGCCGATCTGGCCGGAGGGGTAGGTGGGGATGGTGGTGTAGGCGTACTCGGCGACGGGGAAGATCTCCTTGCAGTCCTTCTTGAGCTTGGTGATGAGGGACAGGTGAAGCCACTGGTTCTCGGCTGTGCGGGTTGTTAGCTAGTCCCGTTCTTGGTACACGGATGGGGCGGGGGAGAGGTCTTGGATCAGAGCACCGCGCTAGAGAGACAGAGAAGTTGATTCCGTCGGAAAGTAGAGTCTCGCAACTCACGACTTAAAAAAAGACAACGACAAAGGAGAGACTCTCATAGTAGAGAGAAAATTAAAGAAAAAGCGTATCCAGGTTTCAGGCAACCCAGATCTCGCCGGCGGCCACTGGGCGCGCCGGGGGAATTTCTTGGGATGAATCGAGGACAGGCCAAAGAAAGAAGAAGCAGGCAAGTTGAGTGCCTGGTGCTGTTTCCTAAAACCGAGTACTTCCTTGATTCTCCTCGTATTTTTCTGAACAAATGGGAACGTACAACCTTGGGTAGTAATGACACCGCCCTCACGCAGAGCGTCGTGGAGGAGCTGGAAGTAGGGCTTCTGGAAGAGGGACTCGGCGGGGCCCTCGGGGTCGGAGGAGTCGGTGATGATGACGTCGAAGGTGTTCTTGTACTCCTCAAGGAACTTGAAGCCGTCGCCGACGTGGGTCTTGGACTTGGGGTGGTCGAAGCCGACGGCCATGCCGGGGAGGAACTGCTTGGAGAGGCGGATGACGGCCTGTGAGGGGCGCGCCGTGTTAGTGGGGCCGAGCCGGCGCGCGGGCGTGCGCGGGGATGACCGAGATGAAGCTCACCTCGTCAATGTCGCAGAGGATGGCCTCCTCGACGGTGTCGTGCTTGACGACCTCACGGAGGACACCGCCGTCACCGCCACCAATAACAAGAACCTTCTTGGGGTTGGGGTGAGAGTTCATGGCCAGGTGGGTGATCATCTCCTGGTACGAGAACTCATCACGCTCGGTGCACTGGATGACGTTGTCGAGAACCAGGACCATGCCGTGGTCGGTGGACTCGAAGATGAGAACATCCTGGTACTTGGACTTCTCGTGGTGGATGACCTTCTTGACCTTGAGGGTCATGGCCTGGCCTGGGGGAAATCATTAACACGCGAAAAGAAGCCGACGATGCTCGAGTAAGTCGACTTACCAGGCCACATGTCCGAGATCTCACGGAACCAGCCATCTGTGTAATTTTCCAGTGTGATTAGTAAAGCGGTCCCGACTCATTTGGTTTGTCGTGATGAATGAGTCGCCGTGATTGTTTTCCCAGAGGTCTGAGCTTGCCGAAATGTCCACTGCTTCTGGCCGCCCACTGCCGATCCCCCGAAAGTGCCGTCGCCGGAGGAATTGGGAACCGATGTGGCGGAGGCCCAGATGTCACCTCACTAAGAGGTTATACGACAGTCGATCAGCATCGATGGATGATGTTTCTCCTGAGCAATTGCTTAACCGAGAGTGGCATCAAGGGTAGCGCATGCGCGCTCAGACGGTGGAGGAGGCAGGCCTGGTGAAAGGCTCGTTTGCACGCCCGGGACCGGAAAGACAAGCCACCCGTCAATAGTCGCGCGGGAGGTTGTTGAGACTTGGAAAAAAATCGACAGGTCGACCAGGTAGATGGTGACTGGGCCGAAAAGCGCGTTCCATCAACGAGCCAACGGGTGGAACGGATGAGGCTCCCGCGCAGCCAACAACCCCATCGAAAATGTTTCCGGCTGCCTGTCACGATGACAAAGGAGGCGAAGGTCGGGGAGATCACAACATCGGTCTGCTGGGGCCCCTTGATGGGTGAGAGACGAGCAGAACTCGAAAGGGCCTGGGCTCCGGCTCAAGCTCGGTAAGGGGGACGCAGGCAGCGGCAGTGGTAGCGGCAGCGGCAGCAGAAGACACTGACGACAGACGACCGATGATGACAAGAGAGATAGGGAGGGCTCAGGAGGAATGGTGGACCGTACGTACCTTGGATGGTAGGATGGGTAATTTCGCTCATTTTCGCAAAGGACGGGGGTTTTGCAGGGCTACTGTGTAGATATCGACAAGTCAACGACGGAAGCAAATGTCTTTGTTGCAGGCGCAAGCTGGGTATTATATGACGGAAGGGGAGAGCCAGGACGGGCAGTGGTTCTTACGGGGTCGAGTGTGTATGTGTATGTACGTGTGTTTTCGTTTTTTTCCTTCCTCGTCCTGGTATCGGGCTGAAAATGTGCGTTGACGTCGAGAGGGGACTTGGTTTTTTTCTTTTTTTTTTCTTTGCTCCCCCGCCGTTGTACCAGTGCGGTGCGCCAATCCAAGCCAATCGAGGAGCGGCAGCGGTAGCGGTGCGGTCCAGAGCGGCGTCCAGGTGGTGCGGTGCGGTACGGTGCGGGCAGGGCGACAGCGAAAATCAGGAAGAAAATTTTTGTGGCTCCGGGGTGGCCTCGTTTTGAGATTTGGGACCCAGAATTGGACTCAGGCAAGGCCAATGACTGGCCAGCCCGTGGTTGGGGATCCCCTCTTTGGCAGCTTCTTTCCTCCTCGTTGCGGTCATCAGTGCGCTGTTTCCTGGTAACCTGCCGCCGCTTGCTGCCAGGCGCCGACGACGCTGTGTCGTGTCTGCCCTATCCAACTTGTGATGAGTCCTTTTTCACGATGCCCAGCTAGGTAAGGTAAGGCACGGATCCGTAAGGTCCATATCGCGTCGGGTATCATGTTACTTTCACGACCGTGCCTACCTTGTTGCGGTCTATACTTGCGACAACTTACTTGACCTTATTTCGCACTCCTTGCCCGCCTTAACAAGTTAAGATAGGCAGCCAGCTTCGTCTATATGGGTCAAATGCGCTCGCTAGAGTCGCTACTAGCCACTGACACCTGTCATGTTGGATCGCAACTAGCTAAGGCAGGGACGAATAACCGATGCCCGTCAACCCTACGGATATCCCGTACGTACGTCAGTGTTCGTACCCTATGTCGCATTGGAAGAAGATCCGTCGTTTCTCCATCGCTCGCTACCTTTCCCCCGGGCCATGTTATGTCTGCACCCGAGATGCGAGAGGTATTCATCCGCAGCAATAATCAGGTACACCGTCTGCGATTGTGGTCGAAACTTGGGCAAAGTCCTGCTGCACAAACCCCAACGTAAGGCAACGCAGGGAGAGCTGTTTCTGAAGAAAACGTGGCGAGCTGGGATCACCAAGCCAAAAACTCTGTTTTTTTTCTTCTTCGTCTTCTTGCTTTGCCGCCGTTTCTTCACGTCAATTCCCGCTCCACAGAAAAAACGAGGCGCCCCCACTCCCTCACCGGCAATCAACGGGCGTCCCTTTCTCTCCTGTCTCTGTTGTGAGGGGAAGGAAGATCGTCGTCCCCCCCTCCCCGCCATCAGATGTGACAGCCTATTTGGTTTGACAACCCGGGGGAGACGAGACGAGAAGAGACCAGACGAAACGAAAGCGACCAGCGTCGGTCTAGCTTGCTCACAGGCTTACGAAGTCCTTCGGATACTGCGGACTCTGAAACCTGCCGACGAAACCTGCCTGGCTTTTGCTGAATGCTCCTCAGCAGTGCAAATGCCTTCACTGGGGTTGTGAATCTCCAATGCCCCTCTCTCTTGGGTTGAGCGCTGCCATGTGAGAACCCAGACACTCTGCGTCATTCGCCCGGCAGGAGAACCGTCAATGCTCCGGGAATGGGGCCACAAAGCTGCTTGTCTTGCTCTCGTGCAGCCGACTGAGACAAGGCGAGGGCCGGAGACTACCGGCCGAGCCCTTCCGCCGTGCCAAACTGAGGCCCGACATCATGCATGGCCATCACCCCTGCCACCTCGCCCATTTTCTTTGTGCCAGTTGCCTTTTCTACCCACAACCGGAGTGCTGCCGCCGCCCCTCCGCGGCTGCACCAGGTCCAACGTAGCAGCAGCATGCAAGACATGCCAATCCTTCAACATCCACCGTCCTCGGCCGACCGCACCGCACCGCACCGCACCGCGACCTTGTCGCGTGCGCCAGAATCGACCCAAAGTCAGAGGACCAAACTCCCTCGTCCCGACTCCCGCCCTTCATTTTTGCCTCGCGACCCGATCGTCTTGTTGCAGTCGGCTCCCTTCGCTTATCCCAATCTCTCACAGCCAAACACTCCTTCTATTTGCTCCAAGACGCGTCAGATCTGGTGCGACGCTTAGCCTTCATCGCTTAACCTGTCTGAATACTTCCGACGGCCAAATACAACGCCTTTGCGGTTCACAGACGGGATGATCGGTAATGGCACCCCAAATCTCGCCTGTTTCCGTCTCCAAATCTGACCAGAGTTGCTTTGCTACCGCATGAACTGAAATGCTGCCCGGCAGGGCCTTCCCCAGAACAGACCTGGAAGCAGAGCTTTGCCCGCTTGATGCCCTGCCTAAGTCGCTCGTCCACGGTCGCCGATGCGATGCCATGTGCCGATGTGAAAACCTTGAACCCATCTGGATGGACAACTCCATGCGCTGCTAGGCGGGAGTCCATGCAGTAGGTTGAATGCCAGAGTCCGAAAGTTTACCGTGCCGCACCACCAAAGACTGCCCTGAAGTCTGCGCGCGTTTCTTTCTTCACGCTTATGGGCGTCGGGGGAGGCTCTGCCCCGCCCGGCCATGCCATCCCGCGATTTCCGTCACTCATCATACCACTCCTCCGGATCTAGGCCTGACATTAGACGAAGCTGAAGGCCATTTTCACTGTTTGGCATACCACCGGCTTTTCAGCTGCTCCGCTTGACTGGGTCCTTTGTTGGTTTCCAGCGGATGTCTCTGATGGCCTGGGCTGCAGAGACGATTATTCAACCGTTTTTGTTGAAGAACATGAGCCGCTTCCGGCCGATTACACGCAATGGTGATGTTCTTTCTTCAGCAGAGCCGCCCTAACCAGTGCCATGGGCCCATTGCATTAGTAATCTTACGGATTGGTAGCCGTACCTATGCTTCTTTGAGAGCTCAGGAGGCTTGAAAACCCGTTTTGGGTGATTGCATTACATCGGAACACCACGAATCGTGAGGTTCGATTGTCCTTCCCAGCTGATCGGGGTCCGGCCATACGGTCCGAGCGAATCCAAAGCTTCTAACACAACGCCCGGTCTCGAATGCCCAAGATCGAATGTCCACAATCACGGCCGCCGTTGAGTTGAGGCTCGGGCACGGGCGGTTGCTAGAAAAAAAACGAAAAAGTCCCCGACTGGTGGTGGTGACCTGGGGCGCACCCTCCATCTCACGCTGATTCTACTGGCTCTCTGAAAGGTCGATGCTGGCGCGTTGCTGCGAGGCGTCTCGGACGAGCTGTCATGGTGCTGGAAACGTGCGTCGATCTGGGTCGTCGATGACCGCCGCCCGCGGATCCTCGACAGAATGCCACGAGTTGTGCAATCCGTCCACAAACGGGTCCCCTGTCGACAGAGGCAAGCCACGACTCTCATCCCTGCCGGAAGCCTGGGACCATTCCTCAATGGCCAAGACGGTATGGGGTGACCCCGGCGCGGCCTGGCGTTCGTTTCTGCGGGACTCATCCGCAGATGCTGCAGGTGCCCCTTGAGGGCCCGCTAAATCAGCATTTATTTTCCTCTGCACGATGCTGATCTGAATGAACGTTGGGAGGCGGCCGTCCAGCAACGGAGTCGTGCTTCGATGTCGCCGTTGCAATTGCATGAATCAGGGGCGACATGGCTCCCCGAGAGCGGACGCGTTCGGCCAGGGGGACCGCTGGTCGAAACGGGACCAGCATCATGGTTTTGCATTGCATATGGGATGGATGTCTTTTTGCGCTGCTTCGCTCTGCAGCGGGCAAACAACGGAAAACGAAAGCGGAAACAACCTGACGAAGCTCTCGGGTTGGCGTAGGGCGGGAGTGGGAGCTTGATACCTGGTGGCTTCTTGGCGTTCAGGACTACGCTCGAAGCATCGAAAGAGCTGGCGTCGGGAGGCATGCACTTCCGCAAGCGATTTTGGTGCAGGTCGAGGCGCGAAGCGTGGTTAGTGTAGAAGCTGTGGCCAGAAAAAGGGCATGAGGCGTTTCCGGCGTACGGGCCCGATTGGGGTCGTGTGGCAGCGATCTTGTGTCACGCAGGGTCCATCGAAGTGGCTCCCGAGCAAGCGACAGGCGTACTGGCCAGTGGCAGAGAGACGTCGTCAGGCCTCCAGGCTGTTGCAGGCTCAGCAGCAGTAGTAGTAGTAGTAGGTAGGTACTTTGGTTGTCATTGTTGACTTTGTAGAGCTGCGTTGAGGCGTCGTGGACAGGATGGCCGACGAACGTTGGATGGGACGGAGAAGCCGTGGAGGACGCTGGCGGCGGGAGAGGTGTCGTGTCGGCGGAAGGTTTTTAGTCTTTTGAGTTTGAAGCATATCGAGGTAGGTTGAAGTGCTTGAGACAGCGCCTCAAGGAGGATTGGACGAGATGGAAAGTGACTGAGTCGAGACTCGTGGCCAGCCAGACGTCGCAAGGAAGGTTATGTGTGTATACGCCGTATGGGTGTTGTGTGTGTGTGTGGTGTTTGGATCAAGTTTGCTTTTGCTCTTTCAGGCGGCTGAGCCTTGGTTGCTTGTTTGGCATGCTTTTTGCTGTGCCCCCATTCCACGCCGACGGTTCTCCATGTGGCATGGCAGTTTGCAGGTCGCAACCCTCTTGTTGGGACACTCAGACGCAGCATTGTGCATCCGGGAGGATGTGCGTCGAACGATTATGGGGGGCCACCTTCTGCAAAGCACGTTTCCAAGGCGGGAGCTGGCAAGCACCTCAGGCAACTTGTGAGGTATTGTCAGGACCTGATGCAATGTAGTTGGTAGCGAGGAGAGAGTTGCCCCTTTTTCCTTTCAGCGGAGGAGGAGAGTGCCAGATGCAGCAGGTAGGCGGCGCCATATGGCAGTGCAGTTGCCAGTGCTGGGTAGGCTGTAGGTGCGTTGACCAGGTTTGGCAGGGTCGCATTGATGTCTGTCTGGAATGTTTGTCTTTGTTGGTTGGGCGTGTTGCGTTGGGTTGGATGACGGAGTCGGTA